CCCCCCCCCACCTTTTTTTTTTCTTTTTAAAAATTTCTTTTAATTTCTGCATTAGTATAATACGTATAAACGATATATAAACATGCGGCACACATATAACCTTATTATCCGCTTTAGCTAATCGGGGATTTTAATTTCCAATTTCATGAATTTAATTCACATAAATTATCAAACTAATAGAACATGCAATGCAACTAGTTCTACTTGATTCCAAAAACGGAGGGACAAAATCAGACAAAGGAGAGAGAAAACTCTTTATTGGTTTTTTTTTTCATGAGACAAGTTCATAACTCCGGCTAAAGATTCTCAACTACGATTGTCTTGAGATTACAGATACCGACACCGAGATAAAGATCGTCATCATCAACTCAGTTGCCGGACTGACGGAGCTCTGGTCGGACAAAATCTGCGTCCGGAGGAACGGAGATGTCGACGGTAGGCCTGAGCTTAGCACAGACTTCAATGGCGCCATGGACAGGGTCCGACAGGAAGTTGCTGATGAGGTCTCTGTTAACGGCCGTTCCGTTGTCCACTGCCACGAGGGCTTGTTGGGTCAGGATGTAATCGAACCTCGGTGCCCACTTCCTCGAACCGAGCCGTGCCGTGGTCGAACAGTTGTCAACCATGAAAGACACTCCCCTCGCGTGCATGAACGGGTTCAGTGAGTCCACTGACTCGATCACGCTCTCGTTTATGATCTCAGAGTACGAGTGCCCTTTCTTCCTCAATACCTCAATCTGCATTTCCGTGAAAAACACCAACCATGATCATCATGAGTTCCAACATAATACAGATGAATGTGTATAATATATATACATACATGTACAGTACGTATACACACCTGAGCCATCATGAGTGCCACATAAACTCCGGCGGTGAAAGGGTACAATGGACCCAAGTCACCAGCCGGCCTGGCCTTACGGACACGTTCACCGACCTTCCACATGCGTGTCTGATCGATTTTCCCCATCGGGAATGCTGGTAAACCTTCCTTATCCTGTTGTATTACGAAAAAACAATCAACGAATAAACTATGTATATATCCTTCTGTGATCGTTAACTGCTTGGGTCGTCATCCGGATAACAAAGGGAGGGGAGAGTTAAGAGCTTTCTTACGTAGAAACGGCGGCCGGCTAAGACAACACTCCGGATTTCGCTACCTGTAGCAACGTCCTCGTAACATTCGTAGAGGATGTCCATGCAAGGATAGAAGGAAGCACTGTAGGCATTCTCAAAGACCTTTTTGTCTTCCTCGGAGAAAGAGTTGTAGACAGCCAACATCCCCTATTCAAATTCATCAAACCATAATTAAGGATTAAAACTATAGATTCAGAGAAACCGAGAAATCGAAAAAAGAATCTTTCCCAACCTGGGTTGAGATGGTCCTTGATATTGTTCCAGTGATGCACTCGACTGTGTTCTTGTAAGCCAAGTCTTCACTCATCCCATTTTCAGTGTACCTTCTAAACAGAGCCTCCACAATTCCATGAACAGCACCGAGCAGAATGCCTGTGTATTACAAAAGAATAAGGTCAGCGTCCAGACCAATGTCACGTGATGTAATGTACTGTCGAGAAGTAAGACAGAACGAAAAGATTCACCTCGTTCCCCAAAGATGTCACTCTTGTACTCCTGCTCAAGAGTGGTAGCAAAAGTGAAAGGAGAGCCAAGGGCAACTGACCATCCTAGGGCAACATCTGTAGCTCTGCCATCAACATCCTGCAAGTAAAACATCTTCAAGGTGAATATTATCGACTCGGGTTAAAACCATAGTACCACCATTGTGAAACATATATAAAGCATAGGGAACCTGGTGAACAGCAAAACTCGAATTGATTCCAGCACCATTGATTTCTTTTCCTTGGACATAAAGCCTCCTCACAGAGGGACCCATTCCCTTAGGGCATACAGCGATCACACTGATGTTCTTTGGGAAATCAAGACCCATCGACTGCAAATGCCCTAAGAGAAACCCGTGGGACAGCCCGAGAATGCTGTTCGGCTTCATGTGGGAGAATACCTTCTCATAGCTATCAGCCTGCAGAACAAGACACACTCATTCACATCCAGGTACACAGGGAAAGATTAATATATCACATAAGTAATGATTATTACAGAGACATGTTAGGCGAAACGAGATTCAGAAATGGACCGACCTGTGCAGCATCAGAGATCAAAAGTAATACAAGATCACTACTGGAGATAGTCTCCCATATGTCTCCCAAAGTACCATTCTCTTCGGTAAAGCCCGCAGCACGAGCCTCAGCAAAAGAACGAGAGCCCTTTCTAAGTCCAATCTACAATAAAAAAAAAATAAAAGAAGAGCATGAAACCAAGTCGGAACATAGCTTTGAAAAACCAGCAGATATTAAACACAAAAGCATATTTAACAAGCATAAAATCAGCACAACAATCCATATTACCTTAACAACTATGTCAGACTTGGCCTCAGCAAGTGAATCCCTCAAATTTTGAGCTTGAGCAGGTCCCTGCAATACGATATCAAAGTTAACCCGGGTTTATAACCTTAGCCAAAGGTAGAAATAGAATATTCCATTTCTTTTCCTTCCAACCCAAATATCAGAAGCATAAAGATGGCAACATTTTGCCAATTCATACAAAATCCTATTCACATGACTGAACTCAGATAATGGCATTTACAACATCAACTAGGATTTGTGGGCTGCAGTCGTTTCATGGATTGTGCCATCAGTTAATCAAAACTATCATCCCAAGTAAAGATATGAGTCATTTCATCAACTTCAAGATGTGAAAAAACAAACACTGGTTCTCAAAGCCCAATCGGGAAAGTATACACCAGCTGAAAGAAACAAAGCTCCCGAAAGGTTTAAACTTTTCTTCCACAAGTCATGAATTCGCATCTTAAAGCATAAATATCATGGAGAAACGACGACGAGGATGACGAAGTGAAGCACAAATGAACAATTACGAAACAATATAATTACCTGAGAACCCCAACCAATCACACCGATCTGCTTAATCCCCTTGAAAGCATCTGGAAGCAGCGTGAACAAATCCCTTCCTCCCCTCACAATGTACTAAACAGGGGATTTACCCAAAGCCAACATCAGCAAAACCATGCAAGAAAAGTTCAGGACAGGTTAAAAATGGAAAACCCAGAAAATGGTAACTCCAAAGAACAGACATTCGGTGTGATAAAACCCAAAACCGACCAACCAACGTGCAAGTAAGATAATCCCCACACATTTGAACAGAAATGAAAAGGGGAAAAGGAAGAAACCTCATCATGACCAGCGAGAGAGATTTTCTCCTTTTTGAAGACGGAGGTCTCGAAATCGAGAGAAATCGGAGTCTTGATCGCCGGAGCCGACACCATGCGAGCCGCGACGGAAGAGCCGGAGCCGCCATTTCCAGCGACGGCGGCCATAAATGGACGTAAAGGGTTGGAACAAGACGAAAGGAAACCGATCTTGGGAAGCGATACGGTGCTGGGTTTCGCCGGTCGAGGGTTTTTGGAGGAAGATAGAGAATGACACGAGAAGGACGGAGCGATGGAGGAAGTAGTAGCCGCCGCCATTTCTCTCGGTGAAATGGAAGAGGGCAACGTGTCTGCGCACAGCAAAGCTGCGAAATTAGGTTCTGAGTGGGGAACTAATAAGAAGAGCATTCACGTTAACCTACTAGTCAGCAAAATTAATTAAATAAACACAATTAAATTATTTTTATTTTCCAAAATAAAGCTGTAGAAAATTTGTGAAAATAATAATATAAAATTCGATTGAAAGAAAATACAAGACATGAAAAATTATTTTAAAATTAGTAAAACTATTTATATAAGGGATAAACTTAGAACTTTCATCTACTTGAGATATGAATACCCACTGTTAATCATACATATATATTTTGCTGCAAAGACAATTATATGTTTTGAAGCAATATAAAAAAAATCCTTAATTTTTTTTAAAACCCTTAATTTGTTTTCTGTTGTTTTCCCCTTTTTTGTGCCAAGGATCTATTGTTTAATTGTTTGGAAATTGGAACTATGAAACATGGGCTGGGCCCATTATAAAAAGCTAATAAGGCCCGACAAAAAGATCCATCGGTTATCCATCAACTTTATAACGTTGACATGGTCGGTGAATCGGAGGGTCATGATTCGAAGTTAGTAAAGTATATCGGACGGTCCAATTATAAATCAACTCGAATCCTCCACGTGGCAATATTGAAGGGGACACGTGTCGAAGACCCATGTGACCCCTTTCTACCTATCGGCTCACAATCAAAATCCTCGTCTCCTCGACTCGCTGAGTCACCATGCCTCCAACACGTTCAACGCTCAGCTCAACACGTCACGCCTCTTTCCATCTGCTCTTTGTTCAGATCCTTCTAGTTTCCTTCGGTTATAAAATCATGAAGAACTCAAAATCATTCTGTATAAAATAAAAAGAACTGATCTTTATCCGAAAATTTTGGAGTTTGATTAACAATGGCGTCTGAGCAGGCGAGGAGAGATACCACCGTGACGGAGAGAGAAGTTAGGGTGGAGAAAGACAGAGTTCCGAAGATGGCAAGCCATTTCGAGTCGATGGCCGGAAAAACTGAAGCCACCGGCAGCAAAGGGACGGCGGAGGAGGAGAAACAGAGGCAGGGTGGGACCCAGTTCGAGTCACTTTCCGAAAAGGGGAACAATATGCCGGTTTCCGACGAAGGAGAGGAGACGAGGATGAAGAGGGACGAGATGCCTCACGCTGTCGGAAAATTCGTGAGGAGTAGCGGAGAAGAGACGAAGGGTAAAGAGGCAGAGGAACGTCAAAGGCCAACGCTCGAGGACATTCACGAGGCCAGAGCCAAAGCTCAGCAGATGTCGATGGATGCCATTAGGGCTGCTGAGGAACGGTACAAAAACGCCAAAGAGAGCTCTAGCCATGGCGACGAAGCTAAGAGCACTAAGGCGAGAGAGACGAGCGACGAAACAGGGCAACAAGGTAGAGAGGAAACTGGTGTTCAAGGTGCTGAGAAGGCGAAAGGCACAGCGATGGAGAAAATTCGACATGTTCAAGAATCTGCAGCTGAAACTGCTCAGAGTGCTAAAGCCACCGCCGTCGAAAAAGGACAGCGAGCTAAGGAGAGTGTTGTCGGAAGTGCTCAGAAGGCAAAAGATTTTGCGGCGGATAAAGCTCAGAGAACCTCAGAGTACGTGACAGAGAAAGGAGCCGAAGCAGGGGACATCGCGGCTCGAAAGGGGCAGGAGACGAAGGAACAGGCGGCTTCGATGGCGGGAAAAGCGAAGGACACGGCGGTTGACGTGACCAAGAAGGTCGCAGAGTACGCAGGAGAGAAGGCTGCAGTGGCGAAGGAGGCGACGGTGGAGGGCGGAAAAGAAGCGGCGCATTACGCCGTAGTGGTGGCCGACAAGGCGGCGGCGGCAGGATGGACCGCCGCCCATTTCACGACTGAGAAGGCGGTGGCCGGGACGAAGGCGGTGGCAGGGACGGTGGAGAAGGCGGTGGAGTACACAGGCCATAAGGCTGTGGATTTGGGATCTAAAGCTGTGGATATAACGAAGGAGAAAGCTGGGGCGGCGGCCGACACGGTCGTCGGATACACGGCCAAGAAGAAGGAAGAAGCTCTGCATAGTACGGAGAAGAGAGATGAAACTCATGAGGTATTATAGCTAAAGCATAAAACTTTCAGTACAGAACTCTATTACTGACATGTGAGTGATGTTTCTTGCCATTCACGTTTCTTGGAGGGAGCTGAGGAAGAAAGGGAAGGAGGAGAACATGCAGGGTTCGTCAAGCAAGGAAAAGAAACGACAGGAGGAGCGGAAAGAAACGTTAGGGAGATCGGAGGAGGAGTGCTTGGGGCGATCGGCGAGACTATAGTAGAGATCGCCCAGACGACGAAGAACATCGTCATCGGAGTCGCCTCCGATGACGAGGCCGAGAGAATCCACGGCCAAGAAACTCATTACACGAAACAAGAACAGGGACGACGTTGATGAGACAGAAGGGCTTTTTGTTTAACTTGGTTCGAATAAGACAGTGTTCTGTTTTGATGGGTAAATAAGGTAGGTTTTGGTGTTTGTCTATGCATTTCGTGGGGTTGTGCTCTGTTTTTGTTGTTATATAGCATGTCTTGCCCTAAAGAAATGCGTTCTTGATATAAGAAGCTGAAAACTGAATTCACACACTTCCATCCATTTTATTATTTTGTCTGTTAGAAAGAGAGATGGGTATACACTTAGGCTGCTACTAAGCTTTCATGGATCGATCTATGGTTCTGAGGGCTTGTTGTCTTCGACAACAGAGAACAGTCTCCTTTTGTTATGGATCCGATCAGGTCCTCCTGGTACTGTTCTGAAGACTCGGACACTCGACAGAAACCTCATCGAGTTGGGGCTTATATTCGGTCCTGTCGATGCCACTCTGTTGACTCCGACACCGGAGAGCGTCGCTGGAGCCCGGCCATGGACGGGGTTTGGTCGCGCTGCAGAGCTGGCAACGAGGACGACGAGGAGAAAAGCCATCTTGACTGTAGCAAAGGAAGCCATTTTTGTTTTCCTGCAGAAGCTTGAAGTTCGATTGTGCGTGAAGGCTAAGAGCAAAAGGGTTTGGTTTATATAAGAGTCTCCGTCACTCAACGCCCGCTTCAAGAAACGCTTTCTTACCAAAAACAAGATCTGATTTTGTCATAAATGCGGTTCTTGGATTCCCGCACTGTGTGTGTGACAGGCATTATGAGAAGTCGGATAATGTTATTAATGCGGGTTCTTCTTTGTCCGAGTGTCTGTAGAAGAACAAAGCGCAAAACATATGAATATCAGAATCGATTCCAGGGTTGGGTGATGCTGTTTATTGATTACCATATCTTGGATGGTTACTCAAAATATAAAATGAACATTAGGTTTCCAAGGTGAAACCTCTAACTCACATGTTTATCGAGTGGTTTCGTTTTACAAAAAAAAAAAAAAAAAGTAAGATAAAACCCATAAAATTGAGTTAGTGATTTCGTTTTAAAGAAAAAGATAAATTTTATAAAAATTATTAAATTTGTAAAATGGTAAGAAATAAATTTTTAAAATTTTTTACTTGAAACATTTATTCTTAGATTTGTAAAATATATAATATAATTCTCAAACTTGTTAATTAGTATCAGAAAAAAAAAATTAACCATATTGATTCAAAATCACTTTTGAGAATTATAATAATACATCTTACGATTTAAAATTTTATTTTCTATCATTTTACAAGATCAAAAATTGTATAGATTTTATATGAAAAAATACCATCATAAATACACAAACCATGACGAATTATATTATATTAATGGTAATTTTAAATTGATGTTTGCTACAATTTTATATGGATACATGGCCACCACTTGCATGCATCCTGTACCATTGTCCATTTGTCCTCATATCCACTACGCTGTATCAAATCAAACAAGGATTCGTGACCAAGGAGCTGAGGGTGTTTTCTATACATAGACTATGCATTCTCGGTGTCTTTTGCTCTATGGACCGGGGATTTTTAACTCTGTGATTGGAGGCCGAGAAAGTGCGGGAAAACGAGAGAAAATGATCAGAGGAGAGAAGTTGCTGCGGAAATTTTCTCGTACTGTATTATTGCTCCCCCAAATATATACACGAGACTATATTCCATTTGATGATTGGCGGTCCATAAGTAGAGACATGCATTACACTGAAAACTAGGTTTTGTAACAAAAAGATTTAATCTCTGGTACAAAGCCATATTTGCTTTATCAATCCACGGAACCTAACGATCCGGAAGTAAATGATAATGTGAAATTTACACTCTCGAAAATTTGTAGATCTTGAATTGTGATTGTTTCTATCGTTATGAAAAAAATATATATATATATACGAAGAAAATAGACACATGAGAAACAAAAAGACTTTTATTCCATATTGTTGATAGGGTCCATAAACAGAGGCACTACATTACAATAGTCAAGTTCATGGACCGACCATGATAAAACAAGATCGCATCCTCAATCGAACTACATGGCCGGAGGATGGTCTCCGTAATGGAGTGGATTAGGACCTCCTGGCGTCACTCTATCGACTCGAGCTCTCTCGTTCATCGTCTGAGTAGGATTTTCATCATGGTGACGTGGATTAGGCCCTCCCGGCGAAACCCTGTCGACTCCGATGCTTGAGAACGCAAGTATAGGTGGTTCGTTGACGTGGTTTCGCAATGCCGCAGAGCTGGTGACGAGAAAAAGGGACAGAACGATGAGAGGAGACGTCAAAGAAAGCCATTTCTCTTGATTTTTTTTTTTTATTTTTGACGGTGAAGCACTCGTGGCAAAAGGGTTGGCCTTATAAAGAGGTTTGAGTAACAAAGATTTGATTTTTTTTTTTTTTGGTCAATAAGAACACAATCTAGAGAGAGTGGATATGGATCCAAAAAGTGGTAATGAAGTTATTGTGGGATGATCTTTAATTCCCTACTTGTTTTACAAATGTTAGGGAATCATGACTTTTGGGATTGTAACCAAAAAATGAAATGTTGTAGTTGTAGAAAGTGTTACAAGTGTTGTGTTTATGTATATTTTCTTTATACAAAAACGTATTTCCCGTTATATGAAGAACAATAACGACATATATAAATTGAAAATTGTGAACTTTCCATCATTTTTCAATTACAAAACAAATAATATAATAGTGCGAATAATTATTTATTGATGTATAGAAAGGAGATTATTGGTTGACACAAATTGAAGAAAAATTTGCAAATAAAAAATAAAAAAACGGTTCATATTCGTTTTTACTTCTGTTCCGAAGGCCCACCATCCACTATATTGTTGAGGGACAAATCCAAACTACATATAAATCATCATATTTCATTCACAATTTTTTATAAAAAAAAATAAATTACTGTTTTGAGCTATATAGAAAAAAAATGAATCACATATACTATCATTTTTTCATACATACTTATCAATTCAATCAACAGATATATTTAAATTTCATATTCTAAAACTTCATATAATAATTTCAATTTTATTATCACCATAAAAAATAAAATATTTATTTTCTACCTATAAATTCATCCGAATAAAAGGAAATCCAAATAAGTAATAATTTATTATCAAAATTTGATATGACAAATACGATGATAAATTTTATTTGTTCGAACTCAGGTTAAAAACAAATATTTCAATACTTTATTTATTGATTGAATTGATAATTGTTATACTATTATTTTCAAAACATAACAAAAAATTATTGCATTTATATTTATATCACGTTTTTAGAGATATATATGCGATCTCGATATCCGTTTAGCATTGGACCTTTTTGTTTATTCTATAGAATGAGAGATTAATTGATCAATGATGCGTTATGGTGCGAACTGAAGAACAAAGAGAAATCAAAACACCCGAAACATACAGAAGAAGAACTTTATTCCATAGGGAGAAAGAGACGGACAAGGCTGCATTATAACAACGATGTTTATTACGGACCACGATGAATCATCAACCGCTAACGGTAGGAGGATTAGCTCCGTTATGGAGGGGATCAGGACCGCCGGGTGTCTCTCTCCTCGTTGGCATTCCACTGTGACGGTCCGGGTCGGGCTCTCCCGACGACACTCCATCGACCACATATGGACGGTCCGGATCAGGCTCCCCTGACGACACTCCGTCGACCACGTATGGACGGTCCGGATCAGGTTCCCCTGACGACACTCCATCGACCGCGTATGGACGGTCTGGATCAGGTTCCCCTGACGAAACTCCATCGACCGCATATGGACGGTCTGGGTCCGGTTCCCCTGACGAGAGTTTGTTGATCATGGATAGCTCGTTGATGCGGGCTGCGGAGCATGCAATGGCGAGGAGAATGGAAATAAGGAGGAAAAGAGGCATCTTCTTCGGTGAAGCAAAAGAAGCCATTTTTTTTTAGAAGCTTTGGATGGTGAAGCACTGATGGCAAAGGGGTTGGCCTTATATAGAGGCTTGAGTAACCAAGTTTTTTTTTTTTGGGGTAAAAAATGGATGCAGTCAACAATTTTTGCATATCCAAAAATTGGTAATGACGTTATTTATTTATTTATTTATTTTTGTTAAAGGTAATAAAGTTATTACGTGAGGATTTTAAATCTCTGCATGTTTTACAAATGCCGGACTTGAGTTGCGAGTGATTTTGTGATTGGATAAAAAAATGCTGTGTTTAATGTTTATGTATAGTTTTTTATATGCCAACTCCAAACATAGTAAAATATTAATTGAAAACTATGGACACATCCAAATTGTGTGGATAATTATCTTATTCTAAAAACAGTTTTTTATTCTAAATTTATTACCAAAATGAGTTATTAATTTTGAATAATATATCTATTTTCAAAGAGTCCACTGTACCTCTAATATATATATATATAAATTATACAAATCATCATATTTATTTATAATTTTTGAAAATTCATATTAATATTTTAAACATAATATACGAAAAATGAATGATAAAAATTGTCTTTTTATATATATAATTAACAATTCAATCAACGAAATATGTTAAAACTCAATATTCTATAATCTTGTATAATGATTTTGATTCTATTTATCATCATAAAAGTTAAATATTTTTTATATGAAACATTTAATTAAATAAAAGAATATCGAAACAAGGAATAATTTATCTTAAAAAATTTACTCTTCGATAAATTTTTATTCAAATATTTTTTGTTGAAAATATTGGTTTTATTATTATAAATACAATTGAAATTATTATATAGGGTTTTGGAACATAAATTTTTGAGTTTTTTATTTATTTGATTAATAATAATAATTTAATAATTTAATAAAATTTATTATCTATGTAAATCATGAATTTATTTTTTTATAAAAAAAATAGTTAACAGAAAATATGATAATTTAGATTGTTTATATTCATATTAATTGTAGAAACGATATTATATATATTTTTATATTATATAAATTTAAACAAAAATTATGAGTTTTTTTATTGAGTATTTAAAACACCTTAGACGAATCAGAAGGTCTGTCTTTGAGTTTTCCTTGTGCTTCTTCTCTCCGTCTGAAAATTTGGTTAAAAAAGGTTGCTTTTGGCAGAGGCGAAGACTCAATCTTGCTTCCGGGCAAATATAGCCATGGAGTCTCCCTCAGATCCTACCAGTTGTCGAGATGAAGACGACGCAAACCTTCGATCGATGGGAGAAGAAGGTCCTGTGGGGGCGGTGCACATTCTGATCCTGGTAAAACCCTAATTCTGGAAATGGCGGCGGACCATCTCGAGAACCCACCGTATCCCGAAGAATCTGACGTTCGGGATCAGTAATCAGAGCCGACGATTGAAGAAGGTAAGAACGAGGAAGACGACTTGGAAGTTACGGCTGCAGCGAACTCGCAAGTCGTCGGCTTCTCCTCTGTTTTCTGCCGCGGGGGTGGGGCGAAGCGGAAGAAGGGGAATCTTAAGAAGAAACGCACTCTGGGGAAGTCTCAGGAGAAGCTCAAGGTACTTATCGAAACCCTAAGGTCCTAGATTTTTCTCGCCGTGAGAAGCTATTGAAGACGCTCGGTTTGTGGGATATCGTGCATTTGGAGTTCGACCGAAGTATACGTTGTGATCTCTCGTGGCGCAGCTTATCGCGTTTTATAGCCAAGAGGTTAGGTGTAGCTATGTCAATGATGCTAGGATTAACGTTAGCCGTCCTGATTTGGCTCGCGCATTGAAGTTGCCCAATATATCTGAATCTCAGGCAAGAGACTGTCTCTGAAATGGCTGCAGAGGAGAAGCATCATCCTGTTGAGGAACAAAATATGGATTTTGAGGAAACCAAGGAAGAAGAGGATGAGAGGTGGCTTTGGCATGGAAACAACCATGGGGGTTTGCATTTTATTCGTCCATGTGATGTTGGCGGTGCAACCCAACGAGACGTAGAGAATACAACGGAAGGAAATAGGGAAGGGACAGAAGACGAAGCAATCGAAGATTTAGAGGATGAGGAAGATACAGAAAAACTTGGAGGGTTTCCTCTGTTCCCAAACGGTGATACTCTACATGAAATTGCTCAGGAAAATCTTATGATGGGAGATGCATCTCCGTTAGGTTATAGCTCTAGGTTGCAAATTCATGGCAATGCAACTGGTGATTTCCATGCATCTAGAATTGACATGCACATGGTTGCAGGTAGTTCTTCTCATTTTGCGAACGGCAACAAAAGGGAGATTGATCGTGAGAATGATGATATATCTTAGCATCCGCATAACTCTAGCACCAAGAGGTTGAGAACTGATGAACACTCATGGGATGACAAGCCCGTGGATGTTGGTATGTGCTTGGACCAGGTGGAGCACTGGCTTAATAAAAGTAGGTTGGCGTATGCCGAAAAAGAAGAGACTTTTGGAGAAGCTCGTATGCACCGTGAATTACTGATAGCTGAACTGCATCGAAAGGATGCAGTGATTCAGAAATTGTATGAAGTGAAACAGAGGAAAGATTTAGAGATCTATAAGCTTGCGAATGAGCTTCGGATGATGACGAGTGTATTGGAAGGTTACAGAAAGGGCTTGAAAGAAAAGCAGAAGGGATTTAGAGAGCACGGGGCGTACAAGGATGTGAAAGGGTCAGGGGGTTTAGTCGTGAGCGTTTCTGAACTTGAAAAGCGACAGTTGAAGCAAGAAGAGGAAGGCGGCGTCACCAATATTTTTTTATTCGACAATGTTTTCCCCAATTTTCCAACCGGAGAACTAAAAAATAGTGTGCGTTTTTGTAGGGATGGGCGATTGGGTTCGATTCTGAACTTTAAAAAATTCCGAAAAACCGAATATTTTGAAAAGAAATCTATCTTTTTCTTAATAAAACCCAGAACCGAACCAATACCGAAACCGAACCGAACATAAAAACCGATTGGTATCTATTTTTGCAAAAACCGAACCGATCCATTCCCGTCCCGAATCCGAACCGTTTCTCGAAACGTCCACCCCTACGTTTTTTGTGTATTCAATCACTGCCATTGCCGGTAAATTCCAAGAAATATGGATTAGAAAGGCCACAAATCGCTGTTCCTTCGTGTAGAAGACGAAAAATAAGCTATTCAACATAAATCTTAATTAGTACACAATGTTTAATTAGACACTCACAAAAGAAAAAAATGGAAAATCAAACCAGCTTTCTTTTTACAAATTCCACTCCCACCCCAAAAAACAAAAAAAAAAATGAATTTTTTAAAATCAGATACATCAGATTGAATTCGAATCACAGCTAAAAAAATGTGATTAGATGAATAAAACCGGCTTCTTCAAATCTTGAGACAGAGAGATTTTATCGACAACTGTTGCCGGGAAGAGAGAGAGTGAGATCTTGATCTGATGATGACTAGACATTGAGGAGCCGTTCTGTTTCGCCGGAGGGCTTGAGATCGGTCGCCGGAGCACCATCGGCCTGATGGGAATTTACCGTTTTCTTGAGGCTTTGTTGATGGTACACTTGCCTCAGCCTCTCTATTTCTCTTCTCAACGCTTCTTGATGTGCTGCCGAATAAGTTCCGAAAGGAAAAAAAAATATATTAGCAACACAGTTATTGACCGATAGATACAGTTTATGGGTGAGTACATATAGGCGCAAACATCAAAGAAAAATGTATAATGCAATTAAACCATAGTGTCCCGGACCACCCAACTTGAGAATTTAATCAAAAGCCATCTAACTATAGGAATTGAATTGATTGCTTTTATACTATATATATAGTCGTGTAGCTTTTTTCAACTCTATCGTCCAAAAAAAGATAGGCGTGTAAATTAATATAAACTAAATAAATGGGGGGAAAGGGAGGTTTAAAAAGAAGTTGAAATTACCGTCTTTGAAAATCCTATCTTGGGCTAAAGCTGCGATTCTTTGCTTGAGAGCGCTGTTGTCTACGTTCAGAAGCAATCGCTGGTGATCCAAGAACGCAACTCTCGGCGATAACACCGACACTTCCGCCTTAATCACACAGATTATACATAATTATATCCATTAATTAAACTTATTATCAATTCAAAATGTGATTAAGATACGTAACAGTACTCGACATAATGGTGAATGTATGTATGTGTACCTGCAAAGAAGTGACGCTGCGTTCGAGCTCCGATATGTACTGCAGTTTTCTCACTCGTGATCTTTGTGCAGATTGCCGGTTCGCTAAAATCCTGGCGAAAATTTTCAGGAAATGAAATAAAAAGGTTCGTAATTACGAGCTGATTAGATGTAATAGTGATATTTGATGTGACGCTAATCATTTTTTTAGATATTTATCCATACGTGCATGCACGACCATTAGGGGTTTGTGATATGGTAACTGTTATGTATCAATTGCTTTGAATTATTTAACCATTACTGTTGTGAATTACCTCTTGACTCTTTTGGGGTCGAGGATCCGATTGCCGGATTTGGCGGCGGAGTTGGGATTCGACGGCGGAGCCTCCAGCGGCTCCGTCTTGCATTGGCTCAGAGAACCCTCCGTCTCTGCGCCGGTGTGGTGGTGGTGATCGTCGGACGGTACTGGATCTTTGTGGTCGTCGTTGATGCTGTCGTGATCGGACGGCGAGGAGGCGTTGGAGGAGGACACGGTGGGGTCCACATTGAGAGCGTGGTGGTGTGGGTCGTCGGAGAACATGGGGATGAACTGGTCGTCGTCGTCGTTGTCGAGCCTGTCGAGGTGGTGGTTGGTGACGGGGGCTTCGAGGAAGGCGATAGAGTCGCTGATGGAGCGGCGGTGGTTGACGCGACGGGAGGCGGAGAAGTCGAGGAACTCGTCGACCCACGACGGGTTTTGACCGGCGCCGGCGGAGGAGGAGGAGAAGTCGGGCCAATTTTGAGCAATGCTTGGGATTTTCGGAGGGAGTTGTGCCATTTAGAGAATTTACCGTAAATGTTAATCTCGTGATGGCACACGAAAAATCGATCTTGGGGAAACTAATTAACCAAGAACAAGAAAAGCTGGAGGTATTAATTACAACAAGAGAAAAAAGACATTGAATTACAAGAAACCAAGAAACTAAGGCGAAAACCCAGACGCGAAATCAAGATTGAAGGGGGGGATAATGACCAAGAAATGGAATCAAATCACGATGTCCTGAAACACAGGAAGAGAGAGAAAGGGAAGAAAGGAGGAGAAGGGAAGAGAGAAAGGAGCGGAGAGGAGGGGACAAAACGAAAGAGAGTAACCAAAATGGCTATGTTTAACAAACAGTTGAAATGTTTATAAAAAACTAACAAACAAGCAGTTGAAATATAAGAGAGAGAGAGAGAGGAAGAGAGGCTGCATGGTGTATATATATATATATATGTGATGGTAATTAAGATACCACAAGAACGAATAAATGCGTATTAATTTAATTCAGAAAAACATATTAACCTCTCTCTCTCTCTCTCTCTCTCTCTCTCACTGGGGTCACATGGGGGGGGGGGGGGGG